CCTAGTTCCTAATAAGTCTTGTATTCTCTACATTGGCACTTACATAATATAACATAATTTGCTTTTTTGTGTTTTTAATATTTATTTTATTAATTCTATAGGAACACATTTAAACTTTTTATCAAATAAAATTGAATATTTTGTTCCCAAGCTAATTATTTGTTTTTTTCCATTTGGATATGGTTGTACTCATGTTGTGATGTTAATAGCTAGTTTATATGACACTGAAAGTCAAAAAGTAGAGTGATATGAAGTAGGAAATTCTACCCAAGATAAACTGAAATGAAAGTATCTCTTTGAGGTTATGCTCAGGTCATGTCTAGGACAACTTCCAATCCCTGCCCCAATCGCCCAGAATCTTTCCATTGTTTTTTCTTTCTCTTCCCAACTGATCTCACTGAAGCCTCCATGTACTGCCTGCTTCCCTCTTCTCCCAGGGAATTTCATGGGGATGTTTACAGCAGCATTGACATCTTTCCAATCATAAAACCACAGAAGAAAATGTACGCCCCTCTTCTAGAACCACTGGCTGGCTGTAAATTCAGGGAAAGGTTCAGCCTTGTGAGTTAGTCCCTATGGGGCAAGATGTTGAGGGACACAGCCTTGCCCAGGTAACCATAGACACTGAGCCTTGAGAATAGTGTCCCTGGGCACTCTATCCCTTCATCTGCTCTCTCTTCCGTGGTGTTCACTAAGCCTTTGAGGGGTGATGTAGATGTCCTCCTTAGGAGCTAAGTATTAAACAGTCACATGTTCTTAGATTCTTGAAATTAATATAATCCTTTCACTTGTCAAATTTAAACCTAAGAAGGAAGTTAAAACCCAGAGAGGGAGGAGGGAGGGTGAAGGAGGGATGGAGAGAGAGAGACAGAGAGAAGGAGGGAGGGATGGAGAGAGAGAGACATAGTGGGAGGGAGAGAGGAAGAGGAGGAGGAGGAAGAGGAGGAGGAGAGAGATTGGCCAGTACTATCAAGAAACACTAGCTAGATAATAGGGTAATCTGGTTTATTTTGATTCATAGTATTTTTTTTATTCTCTGTCAGAAATCTACAATTTCTATCATTTAAATAATTGTTAAAAAGACACCTCTACTTTTTTTGATTTTTGTTTTTTTAAGTCCCTTGCATCAAAATGTATTGCTTCTCTGTTTCTCATTAGTGCTTTTGCTTTAAGGGTTTATTTTTTCCCTTCCATTGAATAGCTTACCTCCTGAACATCATCCATCAATAAATCTAACCTTTGCTTCCTTACAACATGTTATATTACACATATACAGCTTTTTTTTCTTTATACACATTTCTATCCTCTTATATTTTGAGTTCCTTTTGGTGGGATGAACAAAACACCCAATTCACATTGGTATGCAATGACCATTAGTTTTCTGGCTCTCAAAGAAAGTCTTTAAAAAAAGTCTTATAAAATGAGGAAATGTAGGTCATTCTTTTAAAAAATATATTGTTTTATTAATTCTTTGAGAACTTCTTAAAATGTATTTTGTTCATATTCATCCTTCATTTCTCCCTCAGTTCCTACTTATTTACCCCCAACCTCCACCTGCTTCCAAATTTGTATATCTCCTCTCTCTCTCTCTCTCTCTCTCTCTCTCTCTCTCTCTCTCTCTCCCTCCCCCCCCCCCCCCCCTCTCCTCCCCTCTCCTCCCCTCTCCTTTCCTCTCCTTTCCTCTCCTTTCCTCTTCTCTTCTCTCCCCCCTCCCCCCGCTCACGGAGTCCATTTTGTGCTACTTGTATGCTCACAGGTGTGTGGTAATTTACTGGCATATTGTCCACCTACTCAGTGAAATATCTTTAAGGAAAACTGCCACTCTCCCAAAATCTGTCACTTGCTAGTACTTCAGGGTTATGAGCTCTCCCCTAGTCCCCACCAGATTGTTGAATGCCTTGGTCTTGTGCATCTGTGAGTTCGTGAGTGCCGTGGTCCAGTTGTGTCCAGAAGTCACTGCTTTGCGCGGGTCCTCCTGACATCTGTCTCTTATAGTGTTTCTACCTTCTTTTCTGCTAGTGGTCCCGAGCCTTGGGCTGGGGTGGATATGATATGTGTTTGTGACTGAGCACTCCACTAACACTGATCAGCATTTCGATCAGTTGTGAGTCTCTGCATTAACCACTGTCCACCGCACAAAGGAACTTCTCTGATGTCTAAGGCCTGGGTTACTTTAAGTACAGAAATATGAATTTAGAGGACTATTCACTAATCTCTTTAGCAGAATAATAGGGGTAGATTCACCCCTGTGGTCTGTGAGCTCACCCAACCATGGTTTCTAGGCCAGATTTATATTATTAGACATGTATTACCTCCTCTGGAGCAGGTCTTAAATCTAGTCAGAAAATGGTACTTATCCCAGTAACATTTGTGACTCTGTTGCACCACTGGATATGTGTCATCATGCTGGACTTTATTGTAATTCAGATCAGTAAGGTTGTTGATGAATTTTACCTCCCAGGAGCCCACATCACAGCTTTCGTTACTGTGAAAGCTCACCAGCAGGAAGGAAGTTGCTCAGTATCAACTTGATTTCTCTATGCCATGTGAGGCAGTGTCTTTAGGAACGGGACCTTAACATTCAGTAGCCTGTGTTGTTCGGAGGTCTCCAGGCAACCCTAGCATGGCTAACAACTTACCTGTTAGTAGGCATCTATTTATTTATTTATTTATTTATTTATTTATTTATTTATTGGTTCTTTATGGCTTAGGGGAGTTAACTGCAAGTCAACTCTCTCTCTCCATACACACACACACACACACACACACACACACACACATACATACACAGACATACAAACACACACATATACATATATACCAAGTATTGACCCCCCTCCCCACAGACATACACACCACATACACATAAAATCTTATAGTAGTTTTCATATTGCTTTCAAATATCCTTAATGTTTGTTATTTCTCCCCAGCCCCGTCTACCCTCTGTTCTCTTCTCCCACTATCTAAACCTCCTTTTCCCTTCATTATTCATTTTTTAGGATTCAAATGTTTTAGAAGATTTTGATTCCATTTGGAATAAACACTATTTTTCTCTGTGTTTGCCTTAGTTCTACTATATTTGAGTTGGCTTTATCTTCAGGCCACCTAATCCCTTAGTCTGTAGGATTGTGAATATTCAATACTTCTGGAGGTTTGCATTTGTTCTTCTATACACTGAGAGGGAGAAGGAAACTATCTACCCAAACTCTGAACTTTCTACTGCATATAATAATTACATTGGATGACCCAGGCTAATTTGTCAGTGTGATATGATCATTAACCAAGTGGTTTAAGATAATCAGGACCCTTCTTTGTTACTGTGGTTGTGGTGAGAGTTACATGTAACTACAGCTTAATCCAGAATTTTATTTATAATCGGAGAGACAGGTAACTGCAATGTGTATGTGTTATATATAAAATAGCAATGTATCTGCCCATCAGATGCAAGCTACTTCCCAGAGGGTGTGTGTTTCTCTGCGTGTATGTGTGCATGTATTTTAAGTTAAGGCTATAAATTTTTAGACCCATAGTTTGTGTCAGTGCCCATGCTTCTAGTCATGATCACAAAGCATCTTAAATATGATGTCAGAAGTGACAGAACTCCAAAGGATAGTAAGCATTTGGGAACTAGAAGTGTGTCCAGTTATTGCTAAAGAACCCTAAGATGCTTTGGAAATTTGCTGTCTAATTTAGAGCTTCTCAAACTTTGACATAGGTACCATCACCTGGAGAACATAAAATCTTAGTATTTTGGAAATGGGATCTAATTATACATTTTTAATCTCACAGATGACTCTTTTGCTACAGGTTCATTTTATATGTATAATTTAAGAAGCCATTGTTTTTTCTTTTTCAAAGTTTTGAGACATTGCTGTGTTTACTATTTTAAGCTTAAAGCACAACAAAAACAAAAGAACCTGCTCACAGAGACTGAACTGTCAACCAGGGAGCCTGCATGGGTCTGACCTAGGCCCTCTGCATATATGTTATAGTTGTATGGCTTGGTCTTCTCCTGTGACTCCTAAGAGTGGGAGCAGAGGATTTCTCTGTCTCTGTTGCCTGCTTTTGGGACCCTATTACTCCTACTGGGTTGCCTTGTGCAGCCTTAATGTGATGAGAGGTACCTAGACTTACTGCAACTTGTTATACCATCTTTGGTTGATATCCAGGGGAGGCTTGTCCTTTTCTGAAGAGAAAAGGAGGAGTGGATAGGGGCTCAGGAGGAGTGAGTGTGAGTGTGGGGAGTGGGATCAGGGTATGATATATAAGAGAAGAATAAAACAAAGAAACAAACAAAATACCAACCACCACCACAACAAAACAACAAACCGAAACTAAACCGTCTAATCCTGGTTGTGTAGTGATCTCATAACTTGTCTCTTCTTGGTTATCTTGTCTCATTACAACCAACTCTCTTGGAGCTGTCATGATTGGTTTAATATGTGAATTGGTCTCTTACTATTCTGTTTAAAAAAATTCAGGACATTTGAATGAAGTCTAAACTTACCATGATTGTCTAATGCAAATACTGTCTCTAAATTAATTTCATAGTAGTATTTGTTCTACTTGGTCTTAAGACCTCTGCAACCTCAGTTCATTTTGGCCTAATCCAGGGCTCAGCTTTCACATGTCTGGCTGTTTATCACTGAAAAAATCTATGCTTAACTGTTTACAACATCTGAGTGCATCTTACTATTGACTTTAGTTAGCTGAATTAATCAATGTTTAATGAATGTTATAAAATTAGCATTAAAATTTTGGTTGATTTGCTTCATTCTAAAAATTGTTTCATGATACACTTAGATTTTTCACCCACATTTTTTTCAAACATAATATTTTTATTGGTTGTTTGGAATCTTCACACAATGCACCAGGATCATGTTCACTTTCCTTTCCTTATAGGTCAAGCCTGCCCCCCTTGTGCCCTCTCCCCCAAAAGATAAAACATACCCACATTTTTATAGTTAATTAATAAATCTTTTCCTTTTCCCCTATTCCAGTCATTGTGTGCTCAATACTCAGCAGACAAGAGAGAAGAGGAGAAGATGTGTGATCATTTGATAAGAGCAGCCAAATACCGAGACCATGTGACAGCAACTCAGTTAATCCAGAAAATCATCAACCTCCTCACAGACAAGCATGGAGCCTGGGGAAGCTCCGCAGTGAGGTAAAGGAAAGCATGGAGTGGGGCCTCATCCTTTGCTGAGGCCTAGGTGTAAATAAATGGCTTTAATGTGATCAATGCTAAGTGAAGAACTGAATCAAGCTTATGTGTCTACTGTGAATTTAACTCATAGAAAGAGAGAATCTATATAGGTATTTTTATCAATCATTTTGGGTACTAGTTCTTTCAATTATTTTTAAAGAGAATTGTTCATCTTTACTCATTTTACAGTCGATTTGTTAGACAAATTTGTTATTTTATAGATTACACTTCACTAGAATTGGAATAAATTTTAGTGATTTTACATTTAACATGTGTATCTCACAGATATAAAATCTGATTTAGAACGTTTCCAAAAAATTCTAATTTTTTTTTTGAAAGTTGATTTAAAAAGTTTGGAGGGTACTAACAATATTGTTTATTAGTGTTCAGTAACATAGAGAAGGTGTATAACATTTGTTTCCAGGCATTTAAAGTCAACTTTTGATTAATGATAGGGACTATGTTTGTTTCTTTCTTTCTTTCTCAATCCTACTCCACTTGATGCTGTATGTAACGGCCGTTTCTCTTGTAACGGCCGGTTCTGCTACTTTGTAAAGGCCAGCCGGTTCTGCTGCTTCGGTCCGCAGGTCAGGGTCTAGCAAGAGAGAGAGTGGGGACGGAGGAAGGGCGAAAAAGGGGCAAGAGACGCAAAAGATAGATACAAGACAGAGTCCGGTGGAGTCTCTTCAAGTCTCTTCTTTATTCTCCTCTCTTCTTCTATATTCTCCTCACTCCTTCCATCTTCTACCTTCTACCTTCTACCTCCCACACATAGAAAGGAAATCCTGGGTATTTATACCCTTTACCATGTGACTTGCCCTCGTGGACAATCTCAGCTGAAGGCACTATGTCACGTGCCTTGTAGCCATGGATACCAGGAGCACCTTACAGCTGGGGGCACTAAACAGTGTAACAAGATGTTCATCAGAGTGTGCTCAGCTATTGCAGGCTGTTGAAAACAAGTCTCTTGTCAGGGTATATGGCTCGAGATGGCTGTAAAGATGATAGCCGCTTTCAGCTAGGAGTCGGCTCCCAACAGCTGTATGTGCATTTGTGTCAACAAAGATCATGGTGTTTTGTTGTCCTTTAATGCTATATATTTGAAAAGGTCATTTTCATACCAAGTATTGAGTAAATTAGGATAGTTCTTTAATGTACATGGTACATAGTGGTAACTGAATATATATATTTTTTAACTTTACCAATTTTTAATTCCCCTGAAAGAAACTATATGATTAAAATAATTTTCTTTTGGTAACTTTGCACTGTTTCACTGGTCAGTGTTGTCAAGAGTATAAGTCTTCTCTAGTGATAGCTTTATATTTATATAGTACAGCATTTTTATACCATCAGAGTCACATATTTCTTAAATGATTTTATTGGCACTGAATATTTTTAAAATATAAATGGACTGTAGACTATATTTGTATGAAATCATTACTGGTTTTATAATAGGGTTGCTAAGAAGCATCAACTGTATTATTCTATACAGCTAAACACTAAAGTAAATTCTCAAATTTTAGTATATCTAAAATCCAAAGAAACAAACACTTTACAGTTTTCTTAAATAAGAATGGCTGTTATATTTTTGACTTTCGAGTAGATGTATCTTAAATTCAGTCTAGTAACAAAAGGTACATTAGTAAAATTAACATTAGTGGATTGCTTTCTCTCTCTAAATCTTATATCTTACATTTTGTTGAACAGCATAAAGCAGAGCACATTGCTTTCTCATTCATATTTCTCCGTCCCGTGTTTAGAACACTTGGCTGCTCTCTGATGCCTTTATACTGTTATCTGAATCTTCTGCAGTTCATGACTAATTCTAATTATAGTGAATTTGTATGTAGTGATGGTCCTCTTTGGCCATGTAAGATGGAGTTGACAAAAGGCAGGCTGGCTTGCCATTCTTTGAGAATGCTTAACCATTCACTGCTTTCCCTTGTATGAGGCTTGCATAATCAGCTTGTAAATTATGGACATGTTTGTAATAAACGGGAATCACAGAGTGTACTTTGTTCTTCACTTAGCATAATTCTGGAAAACATAAATGGCATTAGGGAGAAATCAGAGTCATAGTGTAGCTGTAATGCATTTAGCTATCCTGAGCCTGTTAAAGGAAATATGCACAATGAACAAAATTCTACTAGGAGATTAAATTATTTTAGGTATAATTTCTTTGTGTATTATCTAAAGAATCATAGTAGCATTTTGTCTTTAATTCAATCATGTTAGAATATTTTGAAATTTCATTTGTGTCTTTTTTATTTTCTGGACCCTCCTTTGGAATCCACATAATTTGCTTGTAGCCATGGCTATGTAGGCCTAATACTTTCCCATTAATGTCATTTATTTTGTTTCACTATTGATGGCTTTTCTAATGCCGCACGATCAGTGGGCTGCAGTGCTGGCAGCTGGCCTGGGATCGGCAGTGGTTTTAATAAATCACAATCAGACCCAT